ATTATAAGAAAAAATGTCATAGGGGTTGATTATTTCAACCCCTTACAAAAATAGTTCAGGGTTGAAAAAAATTCAAAAAGTGTAGTTTTATTGACAGATAATGTTCACCAAGTTTGGTTTCTTTAGCTTGATGTACGTGGAAGATAAAAAAGAAAAACATTTTTTTTTTGTAATTTTAGGAGGGGCGTAACTTTTCAGGGGAGGGTTTATTCAAAAAATTTTATACCAAAGACCCCTATTAATTTTCATCGGAGAATCGCCCCTTGAATTTTTTCAGTGTTATTTAGATACACTCTGTAGAAATCAGAAAAATAATATTCCGCGTAAATAGAATTAATTTGTATTCCCTTTATTTTTTTTACTTAGAAAAAACGTTCAATGACGAAATAAAATGGAACTTCAAAATATATGCGACTGATAATATTACATTTTTTATGAAATTTGAAAATGTATGCCCTTGACACAGAATCCTAGTTATTTTCCCAGTTATATGGGAAATTTCTCACGATTTGGCACCGTTGCACTTATTATTTCGGATTACAAGCAGATTCCTCCTATCAGGGCGCCATCTGTTCTGCTGCGGCCATACTAACACGCGTTTCTTCGTCGAGAGGAGAGGTCCGTCCCGGTCGGGACAGATGGCGCTGCGGCGGAACATGGCCGTTCTGACGTCACGCCTTAGGTCCATAATCGTTACGATAGGAAGACCGGTCGTCTCACCGCGCCCAAAGAACGATCGTGGTGAAAAATTGGTGAAAAAAGGATAATTTAGTGTGTGTAGTGCGCGGGTAATGCTTTCTCACTTATGAGACGTCCCTAAATAACTCCTACATGATTAAAACTAGCGGACAATCCATTTTCTATGCATGTGAACCGATGTATTCGTGATTTTGTGTTCACCATTGGATAGTCGTATAGCTGATCGGTTTAGGAAGGCCGCAACGGTTTGGAAAAAGTAAGTAGCTCTTCTATCATTACATGAACACATCGAGGGTCCTTCCGGATACCTAAAGAGTCCCTCGTATTAGCGCAGTGGGCTAATTTGCTTGAAACAAATGAGTTTTGCAGCAGGTGCAGCGACTGTCATGGCGGCTGTCAAATTATTTTTATTTCGGCCGAGTTTATCGTGTTTTAGGGTTTTAATTGAGACGTGGGGGCATTTTCGAATTTTTACTGGACGGTATCTGGTGATATTGACGGTGCGAGTGGGGTACATGACCTGCAGTAATGTTTATAAATTTGTTTTCCATTGTAGGTGTGTCCCAAAAACACATTCTAATTTTAAACGGTTGGCGGGAAGTTCAAATTTAAAACAATTTTTCATCCAAAATCTCTGGACACTCACGCGTTGTATCGTTTCTATTGCACGCATATTATCCCTGGTCTATTTCCAGCAGGGCACGGTAGCGAGTACGATATATTCAACGCCCATTTTGGAAAAACCAGTATCCGAGGGGTTGCAGTTCCCCCATGTCGTGTTGTCCAACTTGAATCGCGTAAACGCTCCAATTTCTAGTCCACTTAAAGCTTTATTTTAGAACACGCTTAAGGGATTAGCGGAATTACTGTTTTTTTTTATTGTCATTTAGATAAGATATAAACAAATCTTTTGCATACACCTTTAAAATGTACGGTTTTTACGTTGTTGGAGTCGAATTTTAAAGCAGTTTTACGCGTCAATATTTTCCTGAATTTGTTCTGATGATAAATAAACCTCTGACAAATAAGACTTTCCGGTATGTACGTGTGGATAACCATTAACGATTTCCAATAATACAATCGTCAAATATTTAACATTCGGATATGGAATTTAAAAACAATTCGTGGCCCAATAAGATGGGTTGAATTACGTGTGCATACCTACTTCCGTTCTGTAGTAGGATGTGAAGAACTTAAAATTAAAATTAAATAGAAACGTGTGTTAATGTGGATTATTTTATTTCAACCAATGAAAACGTCCGATTTCTGCAATAAATTGTTCGTGGAGTACCAATCAGAAATTAAAAGCCATAGTAATCAACTTGTGTATATTAATTTGTAAATTAATAATTGCCTGAAACCCAGTCCGTACTTCAAAATGCACCACAAACTTCCGGCACAACTACAAATCGTGTCAGTTTGACAGAATAACCTTTCCGCTTCGCGATCGAATTATTTAAAATGTCACACTGGCAACAAGTTATCGATATATAACCGATTATTTTGACGTATCGCTTGTGTCAAATATACAATATGGCGACCGTCTAGAATTTAGCCACCTTGATGTAAATGAAAAATCCACTTGCTGAAAGCTTACTAAATGCTGTGTATTAAAGTATTATTTGATTTAACGCGTAAAAAAGCAAGCACCAAACGATGATTCCACACTTAGTCCAGGCATTATAGAGAAATGCTTACAGAAATTATTACCTGGACAAAAAAAATATGACCGTATAGAAAATTAAATTTTAAATTGAGTTTCTTGTTCTTTAAACTCGATCCAATATGGCGAACATGGTTAAAAAAAATCGCAAAATTGAAAAAAACGGTTTTTCTAAAATAACTAAAAAAATATAGCACGGATTGAAAAATTTTAAATGAGAAAGTTGTAGGTTTTAAAAAGATCTATCGACTGATTTTTTGAAAGTATCGATTGCTTTGTTACTTTTCGAGATATATCGAAAAAACCGTTAAAAATCTTCTCTTTTCTCTTCTTCTATAACTCGTTTACATTTACGTGCCCATATTTGCTATTTACTGCAAGCATAGCCCGCGGCAAGCCAAAAAAGTACATTTTTGAAAAATTTAAAAATATTAATTATTTTTCGAGATATATCGATTTTTTGAAAAAAAGGCGCTCTCGAAAATTGGCTAGATCTTCTCAGCGGATAGCCCTACAGTAACGATTTTCGGTTTATTTTCTTCGTAAAGAGTTATATTATCATGCTGTTAAAAAATGTTGACGATTTTATTAATTTTAAGGATCAAAAAATGACTGAAAAAGTTGCACTTTTTTTGGGTATGTTTTTTTCAAATAACTATTTCAATTTTTATTATTTTTTTGTACTTAATCTGGGGTAGCTAAACACGAATATTATAGCATTTTCGCCTTAGAAGCAAAATAGACCCGTAAATGTTTAGTTTTCTTTCTTTAAAAGTCATTTTCATAAAATAAAAATTGAAATAGTAATTTGAAAAAAACATACCCAAAAAAGTGCAACTTATTCAAAGTCATTTTTTGATCCTTAAAATTAATAAAATCGTCAACATTTTTTAACAGCATGATAATATAACTCTTTACGAAGAAAATAAACCGAAAATCGTTACTGTAGGGCTATCCGCTGAGAAGATCTAGCCAATTTTCGAGAGCGCCTTTTTTTCAAAAAATCGATATATCTCGAAAAATAATTAATATTTTTAAATTTTTCAAAAATGTACTTTTTTGGCTTGCCGCGGGCTATGCTTGCAGTAAATAGCAAATATGGGCACGTAAATGTAAACGAGTTATAGAAGAAGAGAAAAGAGAAGATTTTTAACGGTTTTTTCGATATATCTCGAAAAGTAACAAAGCAATCGATACTTTCAAAAAATCAGTCGATAGATCTTTTTAAAACCTACAACTTTCTCATTTAAAATTTTTCAATCCGTGCTATATTTTTTTAGTTATTTTAGAAAAACCGTTTTTTTCAACTTTGCGATTTTTTTTAACCATGTTCGCCATATTGGATCGAGTTTAAAGAACAAGAAACTCAATTTAAAATTTAATTTTCTATACGGTCATATTTTTTTTGTCCAGGTAATAATTTCTGCAAATTTAACATTAATCCGTGACAGAATGCTTGGACTAACTACCTTAACATTAAGTCTATAGTTTAATTGTTTACGTTTTGATTGTGACGTTGTAGAATATTTGTGTTTAAAGCAAATGTCGGAAGGATTTGATTGGTTTTGGCTGATGGCTCGTGTGATAGTTGTAGCAGAGAATTATTTTTATAGAATACAAAACAGAAAAAGGTTCTATGGTAATTTCAGTTTGTAGTAGTGGCATGTTTTGTCCCTATCTGAAGAACCGCAAAAGACATCCAATCTCTTTCGAACTGCTCAATTACCACAACTATAAAAATACATATGTTTTATAGATATGAAAAATATATATTCCATCTCATTTTGTATGAAAAAAACAATGTAATTTTTAAGGTTAGGTTTAAAATAAAGCAGAAATCTTTCATGTCATTAAATTATAGCCGTCCCGGCCTCAAAAAATGTCACGCCACTGTCGCGAATCGTCTGTACTACAATAATTTTCAGTAATTTCCCATTTGTGGGCATAGCAAACATACACACACAAAGTTATTATAAATAATGATATTGAAAGAGCGACCCTCTTATAAATTAAATAGTTGCGGGTTAGCAAGGTTTCGCCCGGGTAACTACGATTAGGGTTTGGTGGACGGTGCACATTTCTGCTTTGCGGAAAGACGAGTTCTATCAGTTTCTCCTGAATCATCGCGCGCTATTATCGCGGTTTGTTTCCATTATTGCGTCGCGCGGACTGGCTGTTTTGCGACCGATGTAAATATTTATTTATGCAAAGTATCAACGCGTAACGGGAAATCTAGTTCCGGTAATCGGTTGCAACAAAACAGAAAGTAAAATGTCGCCTAATAAGGGTACAGCTTGTGTAAATCAGTAGTTTTATTCCGTTGTCGGCACTTTGAATTTTTTTTACATGTCGACTACGGATATGCTGTAGAACAACGCGTTGAAATGCACAAGCGCCGTAAAGTGAGGGAAAAAATTACGTCACAATAAATGCTTTGTTTTGTGTTTCTTCAAAATCCCGCGACGTCCAAAGAGTCGTTTTTATTCTAAATATAATTTTCTGCAAGATAAGTAGTCTCTCCTAAATTTTATTGCAAAAATAATTTTGTAGTTAACAGAAAATGCCAAAAGTCGATGTTTTTCCCAGAATTATTGTCAGTTTTATAAGAATTAATCATAAAATTTTCGGAAATTGGACGGATGAGTCATTACTGATTTATTGACAATTATACATCATACTTGCCGGAAACTTTGGAATGATGGTAATGGTAATAAGAACCTATGAATATTCAAATTTTTGACATTAATTAAAGACGAAAACAAATCGATAAATAATTCGAGATTTTGATTGTTTGATTGACGAAGAAATCGCACTTTTATTAAGACAATGATAGAACGAATAGATCTATCCAGGAAGAGACGCCCCCTTATGAGTATCATTTTTATTCCATAAATATTCGACTAGCGATTATTGAAATTTTAATCATTCTCCCTATTTTATTAATTAAGTAGAAATTAAACTACTTTTTTTTGTTTGTTTGTGCTTTATCTGTTATTTTTCTTTTTCAGGTGCTGCTACATTAGTTCGCTGCGGACAGTATGAACGAATTGGATTCACTGAGACAAGAAGCGGAAACACTAAAAAATGCCATTAGAGTAAGTACCTAGTACACAGGGCGACCCAAATCGTGGGGTCACCCCTGTATCTTATTGGATATGAGTGAGATAGGCAACAAATGGGCTAATGAAACTTCGGGTTTAGTCGGAATTTTTTGGTTAATTCGGTTCGAAATTGCAATTTATCTGTTCTATGCTATTTTAGTTGAATTTTTTTAAATCAAGGTTAACATTTTTTATGGAAAGCAGCGAAATCGGTTTATTTTACATACATTTTAGAAAATTAACACAAAACTGACTACTTATAAACTTCTGCAAAAAATTAAGGGAGCAAAAAAATTTCGAATTTTTAGTAATTTTCAGAATGATGTATCTCAGTTAAAAATGATCGTATCAAGCTTTTAAAAAAAGCATTTTAAAGCGCCGAATATCTAGTTTCCAGATTTCTTAGCTCAAAATTTTTAGGAGCGACAGTCATCGCGAAATTCTAAGAAATAAGACTAAAAAATGTTTTTTCAATTTTTTGCGTTTTTTTCTCGATCCACGGACTTGGAATAATTTTTTACACAAATTTCATGAAGAGTAAATTTTCAAAAATTAAAAAAGTTTTCTTTTCAAAAATTATTTTTTTTCAAATTCAATGAGCAAAAAATGCCCAATTGTGAAAGAATTGAATAAAAATCAAATTTTTCATTTTTACGAACGTTACAGGGTGCTCAGAAATGTAAATTTTGCTCCTTTCAATTTTTCTGAAATTTTGATTAAGCGGTCCGGAAAAAGATAGATCGATATGCCCATTTACGGAGCTTTTGGGGGTACATCGAGATGTAAAAATTCGTACAAGCATTAGACTCTCCATCGATATTAGCAAAGATGCGGTCGACTTAGCAAAACAAGTCAAAAAGTCACTTTTTTTCACTTTTTTCAAGTTAATGTCGAGGATGAAAGAAAATTTTTTTCTTCCAAGAACGCTACATAGCCTTGTAGGAAATTTATTCGAGATTTCGAAACTGCCCGTCAATTTTCTGTCTGATCATTAGTTGCTGAGATATCGATGGTTAAAGCCAAAAGGATGCTTTTGTATTCGTAGTCGAATATCTCCGGGTCAAATTAACGTAGAGAAAAATTTAAAAAAAGAAATTAAAGCTGAATGAACAGGCTATCAAGTCCATATCATGATTTTTGTGTAAAAAATTTTTCCAAGCCCGTGGACCGAGAAAAAAAAACGCAAAAAATTGAAAAAAAATTTTTTAGTTTTATTTCTTAGAATTTCGCGATGACTGTCGCTCCTAAAAATTTTGAACTAAGAAATCTGGAAACTAGACATTCGGCGCTTTAAAATGCTTTTTTTAAAACCTTGATACGATCATTTTTAACTGAGATACAGCATTCTGAAAAATCGCTAAAAAATCGAAAAATTTTTTTGCTCCCTTAATTTTTTGCAGAAGTTTAGATAGCTAAAGTATTTTTTTCCAAATTGGTAGGTAACTTTTTTCTAACATGGTGGTGGTTACACTGTTGCCAAGTTGTAAATTTTTGCAGAATACTTAAGAAAATTTATATTTGATAGTTTGTTAAAATTGTAGCCTAAGAAAACAATGTCTGTTCATATGGATTTATCGCAGAGTAAAAATGAAAATCTCCATGTGAAAATCTTTGCTATAAATCCGTTACTTGCACTGCAATTAAAAAAATTCTCGAACTTAGATTAAGATATTAGTAGTAAATTAGAGATTCCCAGATTATGATAACAATTAGAAATAGGTATAAATAAACTAAGTAAAATAAACAAAAGCGAAATAATTAAATTGACACCAGGGGCTTGTTTCTTTGAAGAACTTTTCAACTTTTGACTCCATATTTTTCATTCTACACAATTAGAAAAGTGAGGAATAAATCTGTTTTATAAAAAATGTCTTTTATATTAATTTTGTGTGTTTTGTGAAGCTTTAACTTATCAATTTTCAGTCTGTATTCTCAATGTACATATAAATTATTTTTTGAACAATAATTTTGAAACTGTAGAATAGCGAAAAGTTGGAGAAATCTTCCAGTTTCTGTTTATTTGAAAAATAGTTTCTTAAACTTTTCAACTCTGCACAATATTTTTTTTTTAAATATTTTGTTTACAAAATATCAATTTAAATGATTTTTCATTAACTATTTGAACCTGTAGTAGTTATCTTGCATTCAAAATAATATGCTGGAACAATTTTGGTTTAATGAATCGTACAAACTAAATAAAAAGGCGATGAGCAACTTATAATAGGAAGAGAATACATTTTGGTTATCTCTTAAATAGGCATGTACAGGATGTAACTAAAATACTTGGCCAAATTTTAAAGTCGGATTCTGTGTTACAAATCAAACAAGAGTTGTTGTAAACAAATGTCTGGAAAATATTCATTTTAGAGATAGAAAAGTAAGACCTGTCAGTTAATTGTTGAGAAAAGACAAATAGAAACTGATACAAAGCCTACACCTATATCTTCCCAAACCGTAAATTTTTTGTAAACGTGTCTGGAAAACTTGGAAATATCGTATTTTTTTGGTCAAAATTTCGTGGACACCTTGGACCAATGGCCGACTGTATATTCTTCGCGAATAAAACGTCCATTGGAACACTTTTATTCGCCTCTCACCCCTTCCGGTTGTCTGGCCTGCATCGCGTAACGTATTTTTGCCGCACGCGGTAATCGTGTATTCAACTAGGAGGCGGATATTGATCGTGAGCCATCGTCAACGTGGGGTAGCACGACAAGCCGTGTCACGGTGGTTGTGTTCCGTTTAGACATCGGCAAGTCCAGGATTTTTCCCCTATGACTTTTTTTTCTAGTGGCTGTGACAATATAATTATACACTGCTGGAAAAAAAAAATTAAAAAAACAAAATTTTCTGGATTTTTTTAGTGATTTTTGCACTGTTGTATCTCACTGAAAAGTGGTCGTATTGAGATAATAAAAAAAGCGTTTTGAAGCTTTAAGTCTCTAGTTTGAAGATCTTTACACGTTACGACCATATGTCACTTAGATACGGCCTTTCGAAAATCAGTAAAAGTTTCATGAAAATCGTTTATTAATTTAATTTTTGCCGGAAGTCAGCTTTAGAATCCTTCAAAAGCGTCATAGCAGCTATACAATATGTCAAAATAGTCCAATCAATGGGGAGAAGAGCTTACAAAAAATATCACCTGGAAATAAAAAATATGGTGACAGGAAAAAAATTCTAAGAAAGATAGTGTTTTTTTTTTCTGTGACGCATAAACGTAGCGAAAAAAATTCATAAAAGTCATAAAAACGTTTTTTCGCTAATAAAAAAAAAACTTGAACTCCAATCGAAAAAAGTTAAATGAGAAAGTTGTAGCTATTAAAAAAACCTATCGATTCGTATTTTTAAATACATATATCGATTGCTATAATACTTTTCGGGATATATCGAAAAAACCGTCAAAAATCGACTTTTTTTGTCTGCAAATTACGGTTTTGAAACGTGTTACTTGCTGTAAATGTAGCCTCTGCAAGCAGAAAAATGCCTTTTTTAATTAAAAAATATTAAAAGTTTTTCGGGTTATATCTATCGATTTTTCGTTTTTCGGACGGATCTATTTTGAGATGGATGTGAGAGGGAGCAAGTAATTTTTTTGTGCATTACATCCCGTACAACTCACATAATAAAAGTGTAGATCCCTAGATCTGGACGAGGTCCGGAACATTTTCAAAATTGCAAAAATTTTTAAAAAATACCTATTTTATCAGAGTTTTTTACTTATATTTTGTAAGCTATGCATTTTGTATGAATATTGAAGATTAAAAAAAGGTTTACAATTCAATTTTGCACTGTACCTACTGTACGTTAAAAATGTTTAAATTTATTATCGATGTTGCAAAATAGCAATAATTGATGAAAAAAAGGCAAAATAATCAAGTTTTTGGATAACTTTTTTAAAGTATTTTTTGCTCCGAGGGCATTCTAATTTTGGTAAAAAAAAACTTTGGAGTATAATAAAACAACACACCAAATTCCATTAAAATCGGTTATATAGTTTTCGCAAAGTAATTTTTTGAAAAAAATTTTGAAAACAATTTTTTCAAATATTCAAAATGTTGCACCGCCTCAAATAAAACATCTAGATAGTTGAAAATTTTTTCACATAGAAAAGACCTCTCAACCTTTCAAATGGTTTTTGAAAAATTGAAATCGGTTGATTTGGAAGGCCACAGTAAATTTTTAAAGTTAACACTCTTAGATTACATTTATCAATTTCCTCTTTTAGTTTCTTTCAAAATTATAATTGTAANTATTTTTTCTTAATTTTATCTGTATTTAACAAAAAAATAATTTCCCAATATTTTTTAATTTGTTTAAACAAAAATTATTTAAATAATTGTAATAATTATAACTAAATACATTCATATTCAGAGTGTTGAAATATATACGTAAACAAATTTTTTCATTGAAAAAATGCAGTAGCGTAGGGTAAAATATACAGTATATTTAATGCATAAATAATAAACTTTGTTTATAACAAAATATGTGCAAATTAGACAGTTGACATTGGAATATTCGAATTCCTTGGCTCACGGATTTAAAAAAAAATGATCGAAATTGGTCCATTAGAAACCGAGATAATACAATTTTTTTCCTGCCTTCGCATTTTGAACCTCCGAATTCAGTCTCGGTGCGAAAACCCCCTCCCCCACTTTTCGTGTTTTGAGTCACTCTTCGCGCGTGCGAGCTTTAGCTTTTCCGCTGATTTGTCCATGTTGCCGATAACTTATAGATATGAAATTTTTTTCCAGCTTAGTACTCGGAAAAACGAAGCCACTGGATTATTACTAAATTGTTTATAAATTAACGGTAAATGCCGATAAACTTTGACGGCATATATTTCGAGAACCAATAAACGGAATTCAACTTTTTTTTTTAAAGAAGCGTCTTTCCGAGTATCTTAAAATTATAATTTTTGAAAACAACTACATAAATTGCAAACTGATAAATGTAATCTAATTGTTTAAAAATAAAAAAAAATTTTAACTTTA